TAAAATGCAAAATAAATGGAAAAATATAAAAATTCTTTTTTTAAATATTATTTTCGAAACTTGAATTAACTAAAAAAAATTAAAAAAAAATCCTTTTTTTTTTTGAAAAATACGTGAAATATTCTAAATAGAATATTATACTGTACATATTCTAAAAATAATTTTAAAATGAAAAATAAATGGAAAAATCAAAAAAAATTTAAATGTTATTTTCGGAACTTGAATTAACTAAAAAAAATGAATCTCACGGACTCACAAAATTAGGCCGTCTCAAATGAACCTAACCCTATATATATATATATATATATATATATATATATATATATATATATATATATATATATATATATATATATATTATAATATAATATAAAAAAATTAAGCCCAACAAACAATTAAGCATTATAATACCAACCTATGTATTTATATTTTATAGTGTGTTTAAAGCCAATAATCCATCGTTGGTAAATCTGGATAATAATATACAAGCATGAAGGATACATATTGAAATTCAAACTAAAAGCTTTTAGAGTATATATGATCATGAACAAAAATCCATGATTGAAATTGAAAAATAGAAAATAATGAGACACAAAAAGGCACACTCACACAACAAGCAAGCCATTGCATTGCAGGCAATCGAATGTCAAAGATTACAAACAAAAGGAAGAAGAGACGATACGTGTTGTTTCGCCTATCTTCCTTCCTCCACACCACCAATGATCAAGCACTGCCATTAACGCAACTGCAAATTAATTTTACTTATCATCATCACCCACTTATAAATTAATACATAAATATGATATTATTGTCATCATCATAAATAGATTTCATCGCCCACTGATTTCGTTGCCATTTCTCCATCTTTAGTACCTACCTGGAAAATAACACCACACAAAAAAATCGTCATTTCAAGTGTTATAGCAAAAAGACATATACATACGTTTTATCCAAATTCAGTTGAGATAATAATTTTTATCCACACTGTCTATATAGGGATAAAAGGCCTTAAATTGTTTATGAATGTGCAGATCGTAAAAAGTTTCATTAATTGCACTGGATTTATTTAATTAGCCTGGAACTTCATTTAGTGTATATCCCTGCGGAGGTGAAGATGGAGGGACTGTTACATCAGTATCATGATCAGCCTCATTTATCATGTCTAATCATATATATATATATATATATATATATATATATATATATATATATATATATATATATATATATATATATATATATATATATATATATCGATGTATTTGGCCTTGTCTTTTCTCTCTCTATATATATATCGATTGTAATTGTAAATATTATGGGGTTGTATCATTCAGTAGTTAATAGAAACCTTTATTGTCATAATTTCTTTAACCACTAACACACAATTAAAGATGCAAAAAAATGAATAATTAGCGCATAACTTTTACTTGGTTCGTATGAATAGGGTAATTGTACATTTGTACTACATCCACGGTAGAACACGAGAGATTTATTGATTTCAAAATTACAGCTAGTGGTATTTGATGTCGACCCTAAAACTGCCAAGGCATAATATTAGATTATAACACAAAATAAACTAAAGTTATGTTTGTATATTAGTTGAATAAGCTAACTAATAAAAACTAATGTTTGGTTAAATTAGTTGATAAGTTAGCTGAAATATATATGAAATGATATAAAAAGGCATTTAGAAGTATATGTCTTTTATAATTAATTAAATGTATATTTAGGAAATTAAAAAAAAAAAAAAACTTTTGAAAAACTAGTTTAAGTAGTATTTTAAAAAACAAGTTTACAAACTACTTTTTGGTTTATCAAATATAACAATTTAAAAAACTCGAGCTTATAATTAAAAAACTATGAGTTATCTGATAAAAATGATGTTTGGTAAAAAAAAAAAAAACTAGTTGACAAGATAACTGGAAAATATAAAATGATATAAATGTCATTTATAAGAATGAGTTTTCTTATAATTAATTAAATGTATATTCGGAAAATTTTAAAAACACACTAAAAACCTAGTTTAATTAGTTTTTCAAAAATAAATAAATAAATAAGTTAAAAAAATAGCTTATAATCTGCTTTTTGGTTTGACAAACATAACAAATAAAAACACACTAAAAAGCTAGTTTAATTAGCTTTTCAAAAATAAATAAATAAGTTTAAAAAAAATAACTTATAATCTTGCTTTTTGGTTTGACAAACATAACAAATAAAAAACCCTCAAAAAATAAGTTAGTTGTGATATGTTAAAGGGAAACACAAAATAAATATAGACATAAAATAACTTATACAAGAAAAATATTATACCTCGAGTACCTATTATAAGGAAAGTATTATCTTAGAAAATTTTAAATAAAATAAAATAATACTATATTACCAACAAAACGAATAAGTGGAAATTTTATGTTGTCATTTGTCCGTGATGAATCTTTTTACATTTCCATATTTCATTAGGTTGTTTCCTGAGGGTTAGAAAAAAAAGGCTTTTCCCTTTTTCATACTTACTTATGACGTTACTTGATACCAAAAAATAAATTCTGTACTTAGATGACCAATATTTTTTTATAAAATCAGAAAAGTAATTCTATTATGACATCAATATATAAAAAAGTTCATTATTCACGTGATCATTGAAGGTTATTATGATTTGACATGAAGCAATATACCTACATAACCAACATTTCAATTCACAAAATTGGAATGGGGTTGCAACCATTTCACGAATCAAAAGCAATCATCAGAAACTGGTAAAATTTACTTTTTATGAGTTGATGTACTATCTAAGATGCTAAAGGTAATTTTATATTCTATAAGTAAAATAAGTGAGAAAAACAAAATATGTGACATCTATAAAAAAAAAAGTTCTTGGTTTTAATCAATTGATGTACATTAGGAGATTTAAATTAAGATTACAAGTTAAGCAAAATCCAATTTAACATGTCACAATAAGTTTTCCTAATTTCTTTCAACTCTTATATTCTATTTCATATTTTAGTTTTTTCTGTTTTTGTTTTTGTTTTTGTAGGGTCAATGTCTAACGAGGCCACCAAAATTCTTGAAAAGCTTTAAATGTGCCACTCAATTATTGAGAAAGTTTTGAATAGGTCACGTAATTACAGAGAAACATCAAAAGATGCCATCTTATGTTTCAATCAATGTCGCCTAGACAAAATCTTGACGAAAAAATGTCCAAAACTGATAAAATACCAGTTATGCCCTCAACTCAATCCTAAATGTAGATATATATTCCTTTTCTCATAATCCAATTCATAAATGGAATGTTGCAACCATTTCATTAATTCCTAGAAATCTCCTTTTTTTAACAATCAAGAATATTATAGATTGATAATATTTGATCGCAACCTTTAAGTTTTATAATCAACCCCAATATTAATAAGTAATAAAATCATATAACACGTAACTTCAAATCCCTTTATTCTCATTTCTTTTTGAAAAAGAACAAATAAAATATTTGAAATATTGAGCCAATGAGGAAATTAAGAAAACCAGGTGAAAAAACAAACAAGAATTAATGCAATGTTTGGTGACGGAGGGATACTTTTGTCATTTCATACACATTTTTAAACCAATCAAACCGCATCCGTACGTGCATGGCTTTGACCTATCATGTAGGCCCCACCTAACCTAAGCTAATCAAAAAGCAAAACCCTAAAACAAAACGGCGTAGTAGTGTGTGCCCTTTTTTTTCCCAGTGCTCGAAATCTGCAGGGCTCGGGGCGACCCGGCCGGCAACAAAATTAGATTTCGGGTTCAGTGAAACATAATGGCCATTGGGCATTTAGACATTTAAATATGATTAAAAGGACTTTTTATATAATTAAGGAATCTGTCGGAATTTTAATGAAAGTGGGTTCATATTGATTGAAAGTGGACAGCGAACACCTGTCTTTTCTTAGAAACATGCTTGAATTAAAGGAAACCAAACTATGAATCCATAAACCCAACAAAACAAACACCTAACTATATCCTATTATATAATCCAAATAAGGAAGATTATATATTAATTTACTAATATCACATTCATGCAACAAAATAAAAATTTATAATAGTTTATTTAATTATTAATGGGAGTTTTAGACTAAGTATATATATTTCATATCAAGCTTTTAATAATCTACTGTTTTATTTGGAATTTACGTTGTTAAGACATCTTTATACTAATCCTATATACGTTAGATAGAAATCAATTCTCATTTTTTGTAAGATTGAGTGATGTACGAAGTATCTAAAATGTAGGTTTCTTGAAGACTTTAAAAAAAAAACTTGACAATCATTTTTTTTTATTCTAAAAATTAGGTATTGAAAAGATGTACTGTAAATATTTGTACTATCTAAAGAATCTTTTTTGATATTACAATTAAAAAATGTACGTTAGATCTACAATTTATGTGTTTGAGATAAAAGCAAAAGAATTTTTGTACAAATTAATTATTATTTATGGACCTTCAAACTTCATATACACGATATTTAAAATGTGATTATTTACTGTCGATATAATTTTGTTTTGTTATTTTATAAGTATGAAATATACCATTTTCACAATTTGATAATTAATTTTTGTTATTTTACGATCCTTCAAATTTCAAAACTTCATCCATTGTGTATTTAAAATAATTTAGTTGATCAAAATCAAGATTATCCATGAATCAAGATTTAATTGAAGACGTCTCATCTACATGAATAAACCAAATCATCCAACATAACTAAATTCGGTGACATGAAATAAAATTTATTGATGCAATTTCTGGAAATGAAATAGATTTTACCCAAAAACGACATTCTAATTTTTTAGGGTTACTGAAGATCTAAAGAGTTCCATTTCTAGATGCAATTGCTTCGCCTACTTCCAGGAATAAATGCAAATGAAGTCTTTAAGCGTGTGTATATATAGATATGAGAAGAAATTCAAGAAATGGAAAATTTTGAAAGAGATTTACCGAAGATGTAGATGGGGAAAGAGGCCATTGATTGAAGTCTCAGTTCTTTGTTTTTTCTTTGTGATGATCTGAATGCCGTCCTACGCCATCTCCGCCACCGCCGCCGTAGCTTAAGTGGTAACTGGCTGCTGCTGGGAAATGATCGGAGGCGGCGTTTGGAACGATGAAGAAGGGCAGATTTGTGGAGGTTGATCCGTCTATGGAGGGTGACTGAAACCTCTGGAAATGGTGATGATGAGGTAAAAGAGAAGACGGTAAATTGGACTGAAGGGTCCCCCTACTGAAACCCGGAGCAAGGGTGCCACCGGATGATGATGTCATGGAGAAGTTTAAATTGTAACTTTCTCCTCCTCCACCACCACCACCCGTTGTCACCGCCGGTACGAAACTGTCTTGAAGGAAGGAGAAATGGTGTTGTGGGTTGTTGTTGTGGTGTTGGTGTTGGTGGTTATCTCCGGCGGTGATGTTGAATTGTGGTATTTGGATTAGTTGGGTTGCAGGTTGTGTAGGTCGAGCGAAGAAATAATCCATCGGAGTTGCCCAGTGGGTTCTTGACTCTGGACTGTGACGGCGGACGTTGGTGTTGCTGTGAATGCCGCCGGTGAGAAGATCCGTGAAAGACGAGTTTTCCGAAATACTATTGACCTGATTCAAAACAGCAGCCCTCGTTGAATCAGTTTCCTTCTCTCGTTCCTTCTTCGAAGCCATTTCTCTCGCTCGTTCTCGAGCTTTCACCCGATTCTCCGATCGAGATAACGAAAGCCCTGACCCCTTACTTGTTTCAGATGTACTACTACACGCCGGAGATTTCGCCTTAGAAACATTATTATTATTATTATTACTGTTTTGTTGTTGGTAATTTGGATCTTCAAAATCGGGACTGTTTCCCGTCGACTTCTTGTCTTCATTCTGGTGATGGTGATGGGTGTGAGAGATGGCACCGGAAAACGAAGGGTCAAGAGAAGGAAGCTCGTCAATGGAAGTAGATGCCGCCTTGAGCAACCATTCTACCGCCTTGCTCGGCTGATCATACCCCAATCGGTCTTGCAGATCATAAAACTGGATAGCGGTACTGACAGACAACCGGACACGACGATCTCTGAGTCCTTTCGATGTCAAAACCTTGCTGTGTCTATCCTTCCCTCCGGATGCCCTAGAAACCCTAACAATCCGGGAGGAAGGCCATCCACAAAGCCTCGCCACACCACCACCACCTCCTCCACCTACAACAACATCTATTCCTCCTCCTCCGCCGCCGCCACCTCCACCACCATCATCAAACTTCTGCAACTCCAAATTCCCTTTATGGGTAGCTATCTTTTGCGGATTTGAAGAATTGTCAGTAGTTGTAGTACTACCATTAGACGAAACCCTTTGAAACTTACGCACCTGTCTTTGAATTTCATCCACCTCCATACCCAGCTTTCATACCTTGAAATCAATCCAACTATATCTTATCTAGAGAGAGAAATTAGTGCAGTTTTAGAGAGAGAAAGTAGTGGTATATATTTGGAGAGAGAGAGCAGGTGTGGTGGGGTGTCAACTAGTGTCCTTTGTATTGATGACTAGCTTGGCTTTTGTAGCCATGTATACAGACAGACACACAAACATATAGATACAACTGTGTATATGTATATAAGCAGAAGCAGGCCGGAAAATGTCAGAAGGGAAGCTCCGTTTAAAGCTTATCTTTACCAGTGGCTTCTCAGAAAGCAAAGTCTGTGAGAGGTTTCATCAGAGGGAAGGAAAGCTGAATCCCAAAAAAGAAAGGTAGGGCTAAGATCTGTTATTCGCCTTCATCTTTTATAGTTACATATGATTTAATTAAAATTTTGCAGTTGGTTGTATAATTATGATTATGGTTCCTACTTCCTTATTATACAGTGTTCGAATAATCACCTGTAAAAATGCATAATTTTAATTTTGAGAAAAGATAGAAGGGTATTAGTTTATTCGTTATAACAAAAGAAGAGAGTTTTTTTTAAAGACTCAAAAGTCTTTATAAACACTCTATGTTTTCATATAATTTTTATGATCCAGTAATATCAGTCATAGATTTCATATAATTTTATATTAAACAATCTACTAAAAATTAACTAAAATAAATAAATAGTTTATAGAACTATACATAATTTCCTTTAATTGTAGAAAAGTAAAGTAAATATATAATTAATAAATTAAACAATCATGCACCATAATATTTACAATAACAAAATTTTCATACATGATTGCTATTCGACGAATTATGTTCAACCAAGTTGGAACGAAGTTCATAATGAATTCCGTTTGAGCATATCTTGGAATTTCTTTGAATATATTGATGGAACACGTTCATTGAACCTTTAAATATATGGATAGAGTTAAATGTTTCATCTTCACTCCAATTGCTTATTGTATCACACTTGTAAGAACTCGAAATTTAAAGAGAGTTGACTTTTAGTCAACTAAAGTCAACTATAGACCAAAATGGCAAAATGATCAATTATAATAATTTAGCAAGTTTATGAAATTGTAACTTCATGAAAATGGTCAAGATAAGTCTAAGTCACTTGTAAGAGGTTAGATGAGTAAGTTTAAGATAAAAAGTGCATGAGAAAATGCATTTTGGCTAAAAGGATAAAATGAGTATTTTTATATTTTTTAACCAAGTTAGTGACTTAATAGATTAAGTCTCATATTAAGCCAGTGAAAATGACTTAAAAGAGTTGTAGAGTATGTTCTCACATTCGCATGGAGATAACGATCATAGAAAACGGGTTAGAAACGAAAAGGTTATGAATGTTAGAAGATTGTAAGAAAGTTGTTCCCGAAGCTGGAATGGAATCAACAATTTACAAACTTTTATCTTCAGTCAATTAAGAAAAACTCAGAAAATTAAAAAAAAATGGAATCACAAAACTTGACAGCTCATCAGGAATTAGACTCGATTATTGGAACCACTACCAGAATCTCACGTCTTCTGTCAGCAGAAGGATTCCCATAATGGAAATATCGAATGGAAAAGTAAATCAAGATGAAGGACTTCAAGATTTTGCATGGTATTCTGAGGGGTCCAGTCAGAATCACTACCACTCTGGAGAATGGAACCATTGTTGATAAAGACTTCGCAAACTATACCGATGAAGATTTCGAGAAAATCGAAGAACAAGAGAAGGCTCTGGCTACACTTACAATGACATTATCTTCGGAGACTGCTCAAGGTTTCCGTGAATATGACTCAGCCAAAGCTTTATGGGAAGCTTTAATTGAAGTGTATGAAGGAAATAAGGATATGAAGCAAAGCCGCCAGGACATGCTGAGACAGAAGTTCAACATGTTCAATCACATTCTTGGAGAATCTTTGGAAGCTCAACTACAACGTTTTATCACACTTACCACTGAGATGAGTTCAGCCGGAATCTCTCTGCCAAAATCAGAAATTAACAAGAAGCTGCTTAAGTCTCTCCCAAAGTCATGGGACATGAATGTCTCAGCTATCAAAAAGACAAAATATCTCAATTGACTCAGATTTGCGGAAACAATGGCAATCATCAAAGCATGTGGTATTGATGACAAACAAAGAGAAATCAACCATGTGAATTTTTATTCTACTGCAAACCTTGGGATTTCATCCAATAGTGCTTTTTCATCCTTTACTGCACCTGCTCCACAAAATTAAGCCTTTGTTGCTCCACAAACACCATCCCAGGTTGTTCAACCATCCATGCCTTATCCATATGCAGCCTCCTCATCAAAAGCCCATGCTCCTACCTCTGCTCCCAAAGAAGCCGAAGAGAACATGGCTCTTGCTTCTAGGTTGGTGAACTGCTACAATGCTTTTGTGGCTGGAGAGTTACCTCCACATATTTCTTTTGCTGATTTAGATCAAATTCATCCAGAGGATCTAAAGGAGATGGACATCACTTGGCAGATCGCAATGGAAGTGTTCAAGGCCAAGCAATTTGCAAAGAAAATAGGAAAGAACAATTAAGGAATGAATGCGAAGAAGAAAGTTGGTTTCAACAAGGGAAAGCTAAGATGTTTAGCCTGGTCATTTTTCTCATGACTGTCTGAGACCTGATCGTAGAGTGAATAATGAAAGGACGATGGTGCTTGTGGGAAACAACAGGGGAGCTGCTTCTAACAACGAAACTACGAATCTAGCGATGGTAGCTTAGTCATTTGACTGGGAGGATCAAATTCAGGCCCTAAACATTTTTGGACTTGAAAATGCTTACTTGGCCCAAATCAGTGACATCCATAAAGAGAAAGATGAAGAAGATCCAGAAGCAGAGATAATGGAATTACAAATTGCTTTCATGGTGTCCACTACCCCTGAACCTGAAAGGAAAGAGGTCAGTCAAAATTCCTATTCTCAAACTTGTATTGATACTGTTAAATTTTTACGTGAACAGATTGAACTACTGCGTAAAGAGAATGAGGACCTAAAATACGAGGGATATAACCTTAGGAAGGGAAAAACCACTAAAATAATAATTAGAGGCCAAGACTAAGGACTTTAGGAAATTATAGGAATAGTACAGTAACAAGTGTGAGAACTACAATTTTATTAAGAAACAACTTGCCACTGTAACTGAGGAACTCGACACATTAAAAACTTGTTTTGAAAATGTTGATTTTAACTTTAAAAAGTTTGATGTGTCAAGTAAAAGAGTTGAGACTATGATAGAGAAACAAATGAGATGGAAAGACAAGAAACAAGTAGGTCTAGGGTATGAGTGTGTCCCTCCTCCTTTCAATCACAATTACACTGCTATCCCTTTGACCCACGAAGAGATGGACAGAGAAGAATTTCTTGAGGATGGCAAACTTGTTGTATCCGTGACGGAAAGTATTGCTAGGGAAAAGGATACTAACGTTTCTACTTCCTATGCTGATTAACCTATAGGTCAGGGCAAGCATGCAACAGAGAAGAGTGTGTCTGATAATAATAGTGTGTCTGATGTTTCTATTTCATACACTGCTACTTTTGTTTCTAAAACTGATGTTTTGATTTGTGATGATTATGTGTCAAAGTCTGTTGATCCAGTTGTTTTTGTTAAGTGTGGTGATATATTTGCTAAATCGGATGTTTCTGTGACAAGCACATCCACTCCACCCACACATGTCACACCACCTGAGTCTTGCACATGCACATGTGGGAAGAATAAGGGATTAAATAAGAATAATAGACCAGAGAAGAGTGGTACCAGTTCTTATGCTAAGAAACAAACATGTTTTAACTGTGGAACTGCTCGACATATTGCTCTCAATTGTCCAAATTGAGCATTTGTTCCTTTTCATACGCACAAAAGAAAGAACGAGTCGCGAGGAAGATCTTTCATAAGAAAACTCTCGTGACCTTGTTCCCGTGATGGTGATTGGAATGTAAATAATGACAAAAGCGGGTCGAGCTTAAAAAGGATAAAATAATTTTTCATGAAAATACTAGATGGAAACCCAAACGATCATAACTGTCCAGGCACATAACATTAGATGGAAACCTCTAACGCCCGTAGATCAGGGCTAGTCAATTTAGAAACAATAAGCGTCAAAAATGACTTTTTGATAGAATATTATTTAGGATGAATAATCCTAACTAAGTTGTAGTATATGTTACAAGGTTTTCGTGCATATAAAGAACGCCAAAATCCGAGTTATAACGAAGAAGTTATGACTTGTTAAAGTTTCGCGAGAGAACCAGCACAACGCTGAATGACGTAAAAAGTGAAATTTACATTAGAGCGATATTTAGTCTTAGTGATCTAAACGAGAACCGAAGATCTCGTTGTTAGTATCGAAACGACGAAAAGTTAGGTGAGAACGGACGTTAAACGAAGAAGTTATGAATTTATAACGAAATTTTCTGTCCCGGCCTATTAAAAATAAATAATAAAAATAAAGTCAAAATTAGCCGACGGAGTCTAAACGAAAGTTGTAGAGCGTAGTCTCAAATTCGCGTGGATATAAAGAACGTCGAAAACGGAGTTCGTATGAAGAAGATATGAATTTCCGAAGTTTATTAAATAATTTGTATTTAAATTTAATTGAAAAATCCGGTATTATCCGAGGACGAGTCATCGGACTCATCCGAAGTACACCCTGCGTACACCGAGGATGTCGACACTCGCATCAAGTGGCTTCGGATGACGAACACAGTGACGATTTCGGACCTGTACGCCTCGCGTACTCCGAGGCTCCAGCCTCCTATAAATAGGATGCGAGGGCAGTCGGCTTCTTTGCTATTTTTCTCCATTCTCTCTCCCGTTTTGCATCGATTTGCATGCCAGAAATACCCCAAAGCCCCGGTATTATTCTCGAGCCCCGAAGCAAGTCCCGAGATCCCGAAGATCCCGAGAAGTGCGGTTCCCGAGCCGAAGCTCTGCCCGCGAGAAGTTCGATTTTTGTGGAGATCTTCCAGATCTACCAAAGAATAC